AGCAGATGAAGAGAAAGAGGGGCTGGGACCCCAGAGGAGGGTGGCTTTCGAGGGGGTTTCCTCTGGATTCAGATCAAAACAAGAACAATGCTGTCAAGGGTTTGAGAATTTGTAAACTACTAAGAGAGGGACTCATCCTGAAACCAGAGTGTGGTATTTACTGAATTTAAGTCATTAATTTACTGAAATTAAGTCCTTACTGCGATAAGAATAGCATCATTATTGTAACATCCCTGCACATCTCTGTGTTAGTTGTTTACATCACTCTGGTGTGTCCACAGGCATTTTGAGGCACAACAAAAGCCAGAGGAGTTGGAGGTTGGAGTCTGGCCCCCCACAGGAGGAGGAGCTGGGCTGTGCTGATGGAGATGTGGATTGATGGCAGTCAAGGTTCGTGGTCTGATGGCTTTTCCATCTCGGCTTTTTCAGAGAGGAATGGGACACCCTGAAGGCAAAATGCCCGTGCACTCAGGAGTGCCAGCTCTGTGCCTTATCCCAGGGACCAGGGCCTGGTTTGCCACAGGGAGGGGAGGCTCATCCCACACCCAGAACAGCTCTTCCCAGAGACACCACAGTCAGGCAGTGTGTCACTTCTGAGGGGCCAGAATTCAAAAAAGGGATGTAAAAAGGGATGGGTTGGCAGGTTGCATACAAAAGCAGTGTTTTCCTAAAGCAGGGAGGTATCCCAGACTTCCAGGGCTGAGGAAGACATGGAAGTATCATGGCAGAAATGGTGCCTGGCTGTCACCTTCCTTGTGACAGCCAGGAGAAGGCAGAAGTGGCCACAAAGACCCAAAAGGCCATTTCTGCTGAGTGCTTAGAAAGAAGCAGACAATGACTCACATCCCCCTGAGGCGACAAAACATTTTCTGCTGGAAGAGAAAGGAAGATGTAACTTGTTGAGAAAGCACATTTCTAAAGCTGCAAGGCTGTAAATTGTGCTGAGTCATAACAGGGGACACTGTCAGTGTGTCTGGGTGACAAAACTGAGCCTAAAAATGGGACCTTAATCTACTGATTGCTCAAAAAACAGCAACACCCAACCCATGGTCACTCTGCCAGATGTGGCATCCCAAGGGGTTTCTTCCTTCAGCCAAGCCAGACACCTTGAGCAGAGCAGTCCTTGGCAGTGCTGGGATAATGGACTCCATCACCTTGGAGGTCTTTTCCAAGCTAAATGATTCCCTGATCCTGTGCAGCCATCCCCCCCTGGCTGAGGCTGAGCAGGACTTGGGCCTTGCAGGGTCTGTGTGGAGGCCAGAGCCAGACAATCAGTGCAGTTCCACTGAGGAGAACAGGGACAAGCTCCACTTGCCATGACTTAACCAGAAATCCTACTTGCAAATCACACTCAGACACCCAGAGAGTTCCCAAAACCAGATCCCAGTGCTCCTGGCTTCTCTCCAGCTGCCCACTGCCAACCAGTCTGGGCATCAAACTGGTATCTGCCCTGAGCAGTTCCTTAGTTGCAGGTGATGCAGAGAGTCCACCAGCTGGAAAACTTGGGAGCCTGCTCAGAGCTCTCTGATGCCTTTGACCTCCACTGTCTTTCCCAGCAAGGCAGATTCATGATTTCTAGAAACGCTGTGGATGCCGCATCAGGATGAGTTCACATCCTTCCTTCTCATTCAGTTTTTCTCTCTCTCTGCAAGATCTCCCAGCTGTTGCACTTCCTCCTGCTCTTTTGGAAACACTTCACCATCCTCCCCCAGCACTGCAGCAAGTGTCACTCGTCTGTCCCTCCCCAGGGTCGGGTTGCTTTTGCTCTCTGGACA